TGTATTGTTGGGGGGGGGTGTTTTTTTTTTTTTTTTTTTTTTGTGGGGGGGGGGGGGGGGGGGGGGGGAGGGGGGGCTTGTAAATATTACGCAACTGCACAACAAGATTGAGGAGGCTGGATGAACTTCTTTTCTTTTGTGTTACCTTCATTTATTGTTTGTTACGAATTATTTTCTGTTATTTGTAGCGAGTTGTGTCGAAAATAAAGGAAAAGTGCATTTTTTTTTATCTAATTGCATTTAAATACACCAAACTGTGTTTCAAGTGCACTTTTAGATGATGGTTTAAAAAGTTTTCATTTTGAACTTTGCCCAAACCTCCCTACAGGAAGACATACATGTTATGGTGTTACATTATTTAAGAAAAAAAATAGAAGGGGGCCCAGTTGTAACAGTTTTATTTGGGCGCATGTTGGCATACTGACTTCTGAGTCACGATGACGGAAATACAAATTATTAAATATTGTTTTTTTTTTTGTTGTTGTTCATTTAAATTCTGTTTGATTATGTTTTCTTCTGCATGAACGTAATCCCTCATTCCGACGCGCAGCCACCTGTTGCTCTCTCTCACTGGGCCTAAGATTAATGATTTGTATTTTAACTACTTAGAAATCATGCTTGCTAAAAGTTTTAAAGTAGAGCTAATATTTAGATAACACATGTTTTGATACAAAGTTTAATGCTCTATGTTTTCCTGAATTTTTTTCTGCCGGTCAGTAAAAAAAGGGGACTCAGGTTGTGCAAATTTTCAAAATGAAAACAGTGTTTATGTTATGTAATATGTTTTTTGTTTGTTTGTTTGTTTGTGTGTTTATGTCTGTTTTTATTATTATTTGATGATTCTGGTTCTGCTGGCCAGATGCGTAGTTATTAAAAAAAAGTCTTTATTTTTAATGATTTAAATTAAAGTGTGTGAGATCATATCGATTTGAGCATGGTGCTTGCATTGAAAACATGTTGAAAAGTCATTGCATTAAAAAAAAATCTTTTTGGTTTGTTGATTCAACTGTGTTGAAATCGAACTGAAACTGCAGCAGCAGCGGGATGTTGTTTTGTTCTGTTTTTCACCGATTCCATGTATACCTACTTCTAGCGATGACGTGGGGGAGGGGATCAATTTTCAACCCTGTTTATATATGAATAATAAGTAACACTTAAAAAAAAATTGAACTGTTGCATTCAGGCTGGTTTCTGTTTTGTCCTTTTGTTGTTGTTTTTGGAAAAATAAAAGTTTCATATTTTGCTTATTAAAGTCATTGAAATGGCAATTACGATCTCAGACTTTTTTTTTTTTTTTTGTCTAGTCTGCCAACAGATACATTCACGGAGAAAGTCTCTCGACTGCAACAAATCCGACCAATGATAAATTAGAATACTTTTCCAATCATGTTCATGATAAACCACATTTTAAAAAAAAATAAATAAAAAAAGGAACCTGCCGGCTGAGCTCATTTGTAGCATCTTCTAAACTGTTTTTGTTCCATGTTTATCTTTGCTTTATATTGCATCTGCTGATGTGACAGTGATGTGCAAACTTTGGCTCGAAGCCCGCTGGTCTGCAGGGATTGGATCACCGGGGTCTGTCAGTTCATGCTATGGGCCGCTGCTGCAGGGAGATTCCTATACCTGCCGCTCCGCCTGCATGCTGCTGACTCCTACAGAAAGCCCGTCGTCGCAGGCGCGCTCGGTAAAAGGAGATCTTTGACCTTGCAACACACCGGAGAAAGGGAAGCAAACCTCAGATTTACATTAAAGCAGGAAAATAATTTTCACCTTCGCCGTGCATGCATTTGGATACACTTATAGACAAAGTTCAGCTGCTTCTTGCACAATTTTGACTTTTTTTTTTTTTTGGTCTAAAGAGTCCGACCATGCGGCTTCACAATAACTCCTCATGTGCGCACTCGGTGTGATTTTTTTCTTTTTCTTTTTTCATTTAGTGAGACTAATACTGACAAGTGTCTTTAACATTACCAATCCAATCCCCGCTCCCAGACACGCTCATAAAAATAATCATCATTTGACTTAAAACAACACAGGTGCTACACTAGAAATGAAAGCCGTCCAATAAAAAAAAAAAAAAAAACAAAAAAAAAACGCGTATGTCGCTCCTCAATCCGCATAACCCCGATTGTGTTACAGTGGAAGCAGGAGAAGCAGGGAGTAAGTGTCGATCTGGTCCCGCTCTAGAGTTTCTGGTGTCAGAACATTATCTGCTCCGTGTCTGCACATTCTCAAGGACAAAATCTGCCAGGCAGAGAGTCAGCCAATGAGACCTAAGCATGGTGAGCCTAGTTTACTTTCTCTCTCCCTTCCCTCCGGACAGCCACCGCAGCCCGAGGGCAGGAGTGCAGCTGGGGTGAAGCAGCAGAGAGAGGCCCCGGGCAGCGATAATAACCCGAAATAACAAAAAAAAACAAGTGTTTTAAGGTGAGCAAGTTCAGACTTTTTTTTTTTCCTCGAAGAGAGGCTGGAGCGAGAAAGGAAGAAGATGTATGGATGGAGGACAGAGATGTGTGCGTTTGTGCAGTGTAATACGGTGTCTTATGGCTTAAGATGTCAACTAAAGTGAAATGTCAGCTGGGTGCAGAAAAGAGGAATTTAACATTTAACAATTTAGGTGCAAACCCCGATTCTTTCCCCTGTGTCCCAGAAGCCATTCGGGATAAAAATAGTCTTATGTTTCTGAATGCAGTTTGATTGATACTAAAACACAAGATACAGGCGCACCTTTAGAAATTAAAACACAGTTGGAACGCTAACGTATTTCAGTCATTCTTTGTGGAACTCAAGATTACGACTCAAATAGCAATATCTTTTAAGTGTTTATTTTTACGTGATTATGGAATCCCAGACTTCAGTTCATTTGCATAATACGTACAGAAATATCATGGCTTACACAATCATGAGGCAGATTATTGGCTTGACAGTCCTGCAGATTGTAGACGCCCTCCACTATGAGGGTATAAGTCAGAGGGCAGTATGCAAGTATATCATTGGAAAGTTGAGCGGAAGGAAAAATTATGCCACCATGCACAGATGTATCCAGTAGATGAGCTAAAGTTGTTGAATATCTAGTTCAATTCAGATAAGGATGGGCTCTTAGCACAGTTGTCCAGTGGATAGTCCTGTTTTCAGAACCATGCAATTTATTTTAAAATCAATCTGCCTTTTTTGCTGTTCTTTTGTAATATTACACATTTTTAGTGAAACATAATTTTGTGTCTCTACAAATGTAAACCATAATCAATATGTTTAACAAATATTAACACTTGAAATGTCTCTCTTTGTGTTTAATAAACTGTGAAAGTTTCACCTTTTCAGTTAAGTTACTGAAATGATGCATTTCATTTGAAATTAAGGTCCAAGTATCTTGAGGAAGCATGAGGCACAGAATCCAGGCTGCTTGAGGTTCAATGTGACATTTCCACAGTCATCGATGATTTGGGGAGCTATGCCATCTGTTGCTGTTGGTCCACTGAGCTTCATCAAGTCCAAAGTCAGTCTAAGAAAACCTTCAGTTGTAAAGCATCCGCCCACACTGCCAAAAGCACCAATGCTTGCTTTATTGGCCTTGGTATCACTGCTTGGTAGGCCAGGAAACCTTCATTACCTAAGCTCCATGGAGAGTCTGGAGTATTGTTAAGAAGCATATGCATGCAGATGAGCTGAAGGCCATTATTAAAGCAACGTGGGCTTCCACAAGACCTGAGCAGTGCCACCAACTGATCACCTTCACACAAAAGCAGCCAGGATCAAGTACTAAGAGCTTATTCTGCATGGATGTACTTTTTAGTTTACAAATGTGTTTATATAAAAAGTACTTTTTTATCTTATGTCATTTTCTAAATCTTTTAAAAACTGGATTATGGGTCTGTAGCCTTAAGCCAGATTCCTCAATGTAATAATAACAAAAACTTGATTTGACAAAAACTTATGCATTTGATAAGAAATCATACAATTTCACATTTTCCACATTTTATGATGCTACATGCTTATTCCAAAGTAGATTAATTTAATGTCTTTCCTTAAAATTGTGCACAACACCACCATTACCTCATTATTACAATATGGAAAAAAAGGCTAGACTTCTTCCAAATCTAATGATAGAAAACCAAGAAGTCTTATTTACGCAAGTATTCACACACCTTTCATAATGCTTTGATTATCTACTGTTGGCAGCAATTACAGCCTAAGGTCTTTTTTGAAGTATGATGCCACAAGCTTAGAATACCTATTTTTATGCAGTTTTACCAATTTTTCTTTGCAGTACTTCTCAGCCTTCATCAGGTTGCATAGGAGAGTGGATAGGCTACCCCCTATTCACTCAGTTTAGTCAGTCATCCAGCTCTCGGAAAAATCCTGCTGGTTCCAAACTCCTCCATCGTTGGTACATTCACCAACGACGGAGGTCATTAACCTCATTGGAACTTTCAAAGCACCAGAAATGTTTCTGTATCCTTTTCCATTCGTGCCCGAAGACAATCGTGTCTCAGAAGTCTACAGATACATTTTTTTTTATTTTGTTCTTGACCTTTGACCTGCACTGTCAACTGTTGGACCTAATATAGACAACTGTGTGCCTTTCCAAATCATGTCCAATCAACTGAATTAGACACAGGTGAACTCTACTTAAGTTGTAGAAACATCTCCAGGATAATCTGTGGAAACGGCTCAATTTTGAGCTTCATGTCAAACTTCAGTAAGTGTGATTTAACAAAAATCTCAAAAACATGTTCTAAATTGTAATAATGGAGTGTTTATATGCAGAATTTTGGGGAAAGCGATTAATCCAACACAATTTGGAATAAGGATGTGTGTCTAAGGAATCTAATTACAGACTATGTTTCACTTTTTGAACTAAATTACCTATTTTTTTTTTTTTTTTTGTTGATGATGATATTCTAACTTATTAAAACGTATAGATACACGATTCAGACATTCTTCATATTTAATATGATGAGTTATATTTTGATGCTAATGTAATATTTGTATGTACAGGTGGGGTCACATTCACAGTGTGTTGTTTAATTCCCCTTTGTGGTTGCATCTGAAAATGTTCATGTCCACAACTCAACCCAGTCTGGAATAATCACAGTATGGTTTTGCTAGAAGTGGGGTCCTGAATGAAATTATGCATAGGATCTCATACAACCTTGCATTGGCTTTGGGCAAAACGAGGTGGAAACAACTTTTTGGTGGCTTCGGCCTGTAGATTTTGTCCGGAAGGGAAGGTTTTCTTTTCACCGAGAGCAGACATTTGCAAAGAGTTAAGAAGTGAGAGAGCAGAAAGGCAGACGGTGAACCTATAAGAAAGCCTCAGCACAACGGAAGAGCCAAGGACACAGTGACCAGGCGTACTGTAATGATTTTAGTCTCCAATCACACGTTCACACCCCCCCCACATCACCCATGGAGATCCTATCTGCATTCAGCTCTGCCAGCCTCCACTGTCAGCTGCTTCAGCAGATGCAAAGACTCCTCAGGCAGCGGCTTCAAACCTGGCCTGTTTCTGTTCACTGCCTGGACCTAAGATCTATAGTCGGTCCCTGCAGCCAGACACTCTTGAAGCTTCTGCCTCAGCCCTGCTGCAGGTGTTTCAAAGTCTCTGAAGTGAGTACACTTCTGGCTCCTCTCTAACATCAGATCTGACAAACCACAAACTAATTTGCATTGATGCATAAATTGAAAGAACATCAGTTGTTTATTTCACTCTCAGGTCTAACAGCTCTGATTTATCTGTTGTTGATTTACACACAGTTTTAGAAAATGTTCCTTCTAATATTATTGCACATGAAGAGAATACCAACTGTCCATTTACTTTGATCCCCTGTTCCACTAAAGTACAATGATTTTCTGAGAAATTAAAACAGAATTTCCTCAAGAAAGACACTCATGCACAGAAGAAAATGTAATCCATTTAGAGAAAGTGTATTTCAAAGTATAAAAAGACAGATAAAGTTGAGTTCTACTCTGTTTATGTTTATTACTTTAGCTTGGTTAGCTTGGTCACTTTATTTCTCATGGCATAAAAAAAGTATTCATCCTCTCGGACCTTTTTCACTTTTTTGCCGCATTGTCGTGTGAGTTGAAATGATGTATGATTTTCAAATAATTTTATAACAAAAACATCTGCAAAAGCGGGGCATGCATTTGCATTTCAGTCCCATTTATTCCGTTACCCCCAAATAAAATTCAGTTTAGCAACTTCTACTAGTCATCTAATACAAGTTGGTGACTAATACAAGTCACAAAGATACAAGTTATCACATTAAACAACTTAACAAACTAAGCATTTTCTCCACTTTATAGACAGTCCATACTTTAGTTTTCATCCAAATGACTTTTACATTCATATTTATTCTCAATTTGAATGTAGCTGTTCTGTGAAGGCTATAGCTTAGAGAACATCAGCGAACAAACAGCGTCATGAAGACTAAAGAATAAATCAGATTGACCAGGGATACAGTTGTGGGTAGGTTTAAAAACTGAGTTAAGTGATAAAACAATACCTCAACCGTTGCACATTTAACTGAGCAACATTCAACGCATCATCTGAAAATGGAAAGTATATGATGCAACGTCAAACCTACTTAGACATAGCGATCTAGCTGAACAAGGAGAACATTAATAGCCAGAATGAACAGTGTCTGTGGAGGATCTGCAACTCCATAGCTCAGGTTTGAGAGGAAAATTAGTTGAGCACTCCAACCATTATAGAAGAGCAGCAGCAAGAAAGGCACTGCTGAAAGAAAAACAAAAGAAATCCATTTAGCAGGTTGATTTAAGCCACGAAGAAGAAGACGGTCTGCTCAGATGAGGTCAAAATGAAACGTTTTTAGTTCAACCAACACTGGACGTCAACAGTTCACTGCTAAACATGATAGTGCATCTTGCTGTGGGAATTCTCCAGCAGCAGCAGGGAAGCTCAACATAATTTATGGGTAGAAGAAAGGAGCTAAATACAGGACAATTCTAGAAGAATAATGCTCTTTTTTTGTGAAACATTCATTGTCTTTCATTTCACAATTATCTACTACTTTGTCCATCTTTCTCATGAAAATCCAAACAAAGTGCATTGAAGTTTGTGATTATAACGTCAGAAATTGGAAACATTTTTGTGAATGCTTTTGTAATTCTGTGCAATTTTTTTTAAATTTTCTTGCTTTCACTGTGACTGAGGGAATCTCTGTCGATACAACGCAATTCACTGAATGTGATTTGGTGGCAATAGATCTTCACTTTCTTCCTCTCTTCACTCACGTTGCTCCCCATCTTTCTATTTATCTCCTTCAATCCCTCAATGAGAACAGCCAAGCGTTGAGAGTTCAGATCATGACAGCATCTTGTCTTCATCTACAGTCTGCCAAAGCACACATGCATAAGTAGAAAAACACATTCTTTAATAAACAAAAATATCATGAAATTCTACATGGTGGTGCATTTATAAAAATGTACCTATATACACAATAGTCAAAGTACACATTTAGTCCCAATATGATAGAGACTGAGTAAAATCTGACAGAAAAAGTTTGAAAAAGACATGCTAATCATTCTGCAATTATATTTTTTTAACCACATCTCAGTTCCATGACCAACAAAAACAAGCTTAATTTCTACAAAATACGCTCACTTAATTCCACCGCCCACACCTCTTCATAATGTATCCTCGTGGTCACAGTCAGTCAATGGCCTTGTCTAGCACTGACCATGGTCACAGCAAGTTTGATGAAAGTGACCCGTGTGTACGCCTCTGCTTCCAGGATGTGAAACCCAATTCCGGGTGGGATTGATCCTCGTCTGGCCACAGAGGGGATAAGACCAGAAGGAGAAGATAAGAGAAGGCGCTGAGTGGTCAGCGATACAGTCGAACCATCAACTTCTACCGCAGACAGCAGAAAGGTATAGTGAATGTGAGATATTTAAAGAAAACCAGTGCATAACTGGCCACAGATGTTCTTAGTCATTTAATCGGAAAAAGTGCAAATCGCTGTATTCCTACCGTAATAATGTAAAAACAATAAAGGGTTGTTCAGGACTTTTGAAGTGACACTTTGTTAAAAGAATATAAGCATTTAACAGAGTGACTTAAAATCATATTTAGATGCTAGTTTACATGAAAATTTATAATGTTACAACAAACTTTCATCGGTTTTTACTGGGATTTTATTGGCAAAAAGCATGGCTGTACAGGAAACAGTTTTGAAAAAGTTTCCCAAAAGAAATGTAGCATAATTTCAGCTGCAAAAATCTTGGGGTCTACCAGATTGCACATCTAGATCCTAAATGTTTTTGGCACCTTGACTTTGCAAAAACAGCTCTATCCCTGCCGTAGGATCTGTGACTGTCGAGTCTTGCCCCAGATTCTCAATTAGCTCTGAACTTTAACGCCATCGTCGTAACACATGAATATGAGTGTGATTTGATCTAAACTATCACATTGCAACTATGACTGTTATGTTTAGGGTTGTACTTCAGGAACATGAATTTCTTCCACAGTCTCAAGACTTTTACATCGTCTAACAAGTTTTCTTTCAGCACTGATCTGTATTTCCCTCCATTCATCTTATCGACAGTGACTGGATTCCTTGGCCCTGCTGAAGAAAAACATTGCCACATTACTAATTCTCCAAGAAATCTAGAGTTTTGCATGAATGACAGAATGTAAAATCTTGGTCTCACCTGACAAGACAATATTTTCTTTCTATTCCAGGGCCATGCGTCTAACAGTGCTCCATGCTCAGATACTGTTTAATAACCCAATCAGCTTCAAATATATTTACAACTACAGTAAACTGATAACCTGTGTGGTGTGCTTCTTTCTCATAGTTAATTATGTCACTACTGAAAGGAAATGGTTGCACTGGATTTTATTTAGGGGTATCAAATAAACTGAACACAAATACAGTTCAAACTCTTCAGATTTCCATGTGTGAACAACTATTGAAAACTAATCTTTCAGTTTCCGTTTGCCTATTAATTGTTTGCTGCTTTGGTTTGGTCTATTACATAAACTCCCAGTAAAATGCATTAACGTTTGTTTGTCTCTTCCAAGGCACCTTGTGTTACCTCTAGGATCTCACTTTTGGCATCCTAATTTAGTATAAATCCAAATTAGTTTGGTTCGCTCACTACCAAGATCTCTGCTTTCTCAAACGTCTCTGATCTCAGGAAATGGATAAATGTTTTATAAAAGTACATTTTTAAGAACTCCCAACTTATTGTCACACTTGAATTGGTTATTTATACAGAAATTAAATAATATCATTGCCAACATGACAAGTGGCACTCAGAAAATACTACGGAAGTTTTGAGACGAGAAGATGTGCACTTTGGTCTTGTCCTTCCTCTGATATGTTGCTTGCAACCTGTTTTTAAATAAAGGTTTAATTGGCTCTAGTGGTCTTTATTTGATAGTGAACTGACAAGAAAGTGGGTAATGAACGAAGGGGGAAGACATGTGGCAAAGGTCACCAGGCCGGGAATCGAACCTTCGAGACCAAGGCCTCCAAGCTGTCTTTCGTTAGAACTGTCTGTTTGCATGTGTACCCCTTCATCCCAACTCTGTGCTTTGCACTCTAGTCTGTTGTCGCCCTAGGACGTGAGGTAAATAATTGAATGGATCCATTAATAAATAAAGTGCAGGCGGAGGGTAGGGGGGGTAAGAGGAAGAGAGGGGGAGACTGTGAAGAGCTGCGAGGGACAGGTCACTCATCTTTACAATCACCAAGAAGGGAGTGGCATGATTGCAAACACACTCTAAACTCCCCCCTCTCTGTGTTTTCTTTTCTCCCAAGGAGGTGTCTGGGCATTATAAGCATTAGCTGTGCTGAACTGTGACTCTGGGGTTGGAGCAGGAAGTGGCACTTCAACATATTTCCCCTCTGATCCGCTGGGACCGAGCCACTTCCTGTAAAACAGGTGGAGGGAGGCAACGTGGAACTACTGCCACAGATTAGTCTACTTTCACCTCAGTCAACCTGTTTTCCACTAGGACCCGGTAAATTCCAGCTGGAAAATTTTATTTCTATATGCCATAGCTGGCAAATTTAATATAAACCCTGCCAAGGGAACTCTAACTGCGAAGGCGCTTATGACATTGCGGTTTTGGAGAGTATAGAATGTAAAGCGGGGTCATTATCAACTTCTACAAAGCAGCAGCACTTAGCTGAGAACGTGCAGTGAGGTTTTGGAGAAGAAAACATTTAAAACTCTCTTTGTTAATACTTAAATATGACACATTTTAACACAAATCCTGGAATAAATGAAACCAAGCAAACAAAACTGATAAAATACCAAATGGTTCGTCCAGCATCGTGTGTTTTTCATGTGCGGTTTGACAACTTTGGACAAAGTTAGAGCCCTGTAGCCCTTTGTTTGACATTAAAAACTACATCTGAATTAACTTTAAAGCAAGCTTTGCTGGAGAATTCCTCCTGATGAAGACTAGCAATAGTTTTAAATTTCAAGTCTTACAAAACATGTTTTTTTTCCAAACTCAAGTTTTGTTTTCTTCTGTCTGCACTAGGTGCTAGTGCAATCAACCATGAAGGGAGTAGAGGCTGCACAGTACTCCTTCACTGGTTTCATGTGATACAAATCATTGGAAATGTAATAAAATGTTAAATGTTAAATTCTTGCAAACATTACAGTATCGTAGCTGATATCGCAGTAGCCATGTTGGCTGTTCAAATGCCTGAAGTTCAACTTGAGTTGACTTTCCAACTTGAAAAAAATGAATTTCCAAGAAAAAGCTGAACTTCCTTCAGCTACACTATTACTCTGCACTGCTGTAATCTATTTTTTTAAATAAAAGATTATGTAACCATTTCCTGTCTGATGATCACAATGTTTTTCAGAAGTCTTTTCAAAACTTCATTATTTTTACACTTTCTTCATTATCCTTTCATAATTCCCAAATGTTTAAATAAAAAAGACTACACACAACAGTCATACCTGACTGTTATGTGCAAACCTCTAATTTGTCATTTTGCATCATATTTGGATATAAACATTTCTTCTTCTTAATATAATTTTGACAAATTCAACTTAAGTTTGGACGAACACACTGAATGTTCAGTTTATTTGGTGCAAATAGTAGCAGCTCAATGCATTAAGGCATCTGAGTGTTGTGAAAATTACTTTCTGAAGACCAAAAACAGCATCAGAATGAGAAGAAAAAGGCATTTAATGTAACTTTGGATATAGCATTGGTTGTTAGTCAGGACTGAGTATTTTAGAAAGGCCTCAAATTGGAACGATTAGCTCGGTATCAGCGATAAACTGTTTTACATGTTCATTTGTATGTACGTTTTTTCACTACTCTATTCATCTCATTCTCACATTTACTGTCTTGCTTTCCACCTCATTTTTTCACAGCCTGGGCTTTCTATTTTATTTTACAGGCCCTGATCTCTATTTAGATTTCCTCGTTGAGAGTTTGGAGTTGCCGTGATATTCCCCATTGCCAACATCTGTAAGTAGTTTGCAGGCAAGAGACATGATGGAAAAACAAGAAATAAAAAGCAGAATGGTGTTACGCTACCGGGGTTAGATAGAAACAGAGGCTTTGAGAAGGTTACGAATTGCACAGGGATCAGAGGCCTCCACAGCCGGCAGACCTGGCTCCATCTTGACTGAAAGTTTGAAGGGAGATAATGTTCAGCATACTTCTTTCATTTTTTTTTTTTTTTTTCTGCCGAGTGCACAACAATATAATTCCTACTATTCTGAGGCTTAGAGGGGTTTGAGTTCCTGGGACCCCACATTTTAGTTTTACTGGGGATTGACCTCAGTCACGTGTAAGGTTTTAGACAGATTGGCCCTAAGCTCCAGCACTTTTAAAGAGATTATGTTATTGCAAACGATTAAAAGAAGTAGATACATTGAGGGGAGCTAATGAGGGGTTTCTCCCCTCCCCAGCTGCTAGCTTAATTCAGTGCTCACTGTCCTGTTGATAATGCACATTACAATAGTATTACAGTGGCATTAGAGGCTTTACACTGTTGTGGCATTAGGAGCTACACTGTTGACAGTGTAGCAGAGGCTCAGATTTTGTGCACTTTTTTTTTTTGTTTGTTTGAGCTGTTGGCTTTTCTCCATCAACATGTGTAAGGGGGAGAGGCAGAGTTTTTTTGTGTACAGTGGAGTCTCATTAGGTAATGAGGATGATTACCCTGTAATAGGTGGTGCAGAAGAGTGGCAACAGCCTCAGAGTGGGAGGGGGCGAGCTGGGGGGAACATGTGTCTGTGATTAGCGGCATAAGCGCATACCATTTATTTGACACAAGCTATCTGTGTCTCGTGATTGGCGCAGGGCTGTCGTCTGCATGTCTGCTTGGCCCTCTGCGTCCTTGACTCGGAGGGTAGACAGACAGATGTGGTGTGAAAGGGGAGCAGAGCGGCAGTGCACGCAGCGAGTGTGGAAAGGTACTGGGCTGAGAGTCGGCTGTGGTTAGAGGTAAAGACTGGAATATTGGATGGGAGTTTTGTGGGTCAGACTCGAGGATGGAAAGGTTTTGTGAGTGCCCTGACGACAAAGTTTTATTACACCAACGAGCCATAACCATTTGAATACCATAAGTAGATCCTAATTATGCCAACAAGACAACTCTGACCAGACTCTGTCCAGAAGCCCAGCATATCTGGGTACCTGGTTGTGATGAACAGATCCTTTGGAGACGTTGGTTTGAGGTGTGGGTTTGCTGTGGATTGGGTTTTGCTTTCCCCAGATCGCATCAGAGCCTATTTTGCTGGTTTCTGGATACTTTAGAGGCTGGGTGAACACCTCAGCCTGTTCG